AACAGACACCATCCTTCAGATTTTGACCGATAGAGATCTATTCCATCAATGGGCCCCTGATTTATAACAGGGTTACCAAACCCCGTCTACTCTCGTTCCCTTGTACATTTCCTCTTCTTCTCTTTCACCCTGGCAGTGTTTCTTCCCCTCGAATGGCGTTTGTTTGGAGGCTCATCGGATATATGGCGTATTCAGGAAAGGCATATGTGTGTACATACAAATTTTGTTTCTCTTTCACTTAGGTCTTCAGCGCCTAGAATCCAAGACAATTTATCTTCAATATCATCTCAGCAATGAGACTATCTTGGCGTTGAACCGTTCGAGCTAAGCGGGAAGCTCGAGGCTCCCATATTTGATTCGGTCAACCATGTGTCACATAATTTAAAGTCCGGGTCGAAACGCATGATATGGATTCATGACTATCAAGCTTCTTCATCCTCAACTTCCTCGATCTGTACAGTGCGAAGTTCGCGATTGAATCGTTCTTCCTCCTCCAGAAGCTTTTGCTCGATGTCATCCTTTGGCGGCTGAGCGGAGTTTACACCTCCTTTGGGTTCCGCAGAAGTAGCGCTATAACCAGCTTTCTCAAGCCTATCCATTTCTTCCGGCTCCAGCAGTTTCCCACGACCTTTAATAGACTCCTGTTTGACTCTGACTGCCGCAGGAACGAACTTGCTCACAGCTTCTTGCCGTAGATTTCTGATTTCCGGCTTCGCTTCGTAGACGGTCTTGGTTTCCACAACGGGCGGTTTCGACGGTACAGGATGTGGCCCACGAGCACTATCCAAATCCGCGTCTGCATTTGGCCCTCTCCTTCTCTGATATTCTTTGGGTATGGGCGGGGGTGTGTCCCGCGGCATAGGTATCCGGCGAACGTCCTCATCTGTCTCGCTACTGTCACTCTCTGGCTCAAATCGCCTGTGATCCTCTCTCCTCCTTTTGCCAAGTACTCCATCTCCGTGGTCCCTTTGGCCGCCGTGAGGCCCTCGTCTGTGTTCCGAACTCGCAAATGTGGGCGCTTTATCGCCAAGCGCTTCCCTGGCCTTTTGCACTGCTCGCAAATCCCGCTCAAGTGCCTCCAGTATCTGCTTCTCGCGTGGCCGCAACTTCTGCCCGGACTCTTCCATTTCTTTGAGTTCGTTTATTTGTCGCTGGATGCGCTCGGGATTGCGACGCGCCAGCTTCTCGTTCCGACGAGCCAGCGCTTCGGCTTTTGCCTTTTTCAGGGTTTTCTGTTTCTCGAGCTTCCGCTGCGCCATGGCAGGGTTGACTGAGCGTTCTTTGTCCTTTGGCATTGTTGCTATTCTTCTCGTCGTTCCTTCGTGTCTGACGTTCTAGAATACTTAGACGGTTCGAAATTCGTATGCTCGCGCTTCGGGAAAGTTACAGTGTCCGCAGGTTTCGATGATACTAGGGTGCGATTGCTACTATCGATGCCAAAATCCCAGTCAGTATGGGAGTCACTCAAAATCGGGCTATCTTGGCAATGTGATCTGGTTGGGTAGGACAACGTTCACTGCAGCTCTTGCAACAGGCTAGACCTGCGTCAAGTACATTGGGGAAAGCTCACAGGCTGACACTAAAGTAAGCTGCATCAAGAGCAGCAAGACAAATCTTTCCTCAAAGTCGGATCTTCCGAGCACTGACCCTCCCAATCGACAAGGGATCCAGTAATAAAACTGTAGGGCTTTAGCCTCACGGATTGGGCAGCGGCTTGAGTAGATCCAGGCGTGGGGAAAGGCGATGGCGACAAGGACAGGAATGGCGACTAGAATTGTAATGACGACGCGCCAAATGCGCTATTTCGAGACTTTATCGACTTCCACAGCGTTTGATGGAGAAAAGCGAGAACTCCGTCCTTATTGTCAATGATGATATTGGCGGGATTGGCGGTTTTGAAGGTAGCGAGCATTGACGAGAGAAGAGGAGATAAATGCGGCGCAGAGAAGAACCACAGTTTTGGAGATGAGCAGTGACGTTTAGGGGGAAGAACAAATAGTCGGGTTATTGCTACATTGCCTTCACCCAATGATGATTATCTACTATGGCTAGAATAATATCAATGCAACAAGCATCAAGATCACGAGCGACGTATGGGACCAGTTATTGTTACAGGTGGTGTCAACATATATTTCTTATACAATATCCGCTCTGCTTGCGCATATAGAGCTGTAGAACTGTCCTTTTGTCCCCTTGGACAGTATATTTTGCAGAAATTGGAGGCATCGACTTTTTTCTCCTCAAGAGTCTCTCTGCGCTTTCTTCATCTATGTCGTAGAATTCTGATTCCATCTGCGTCACGTCGACTCGTCGTTCCTTTCCTATCCGAGGCATTCTTGAACATTCCTCTTCCTGGAAGATTCGGCTTGTACCTGTGCATGTCTGATAAGCTCCGTCATCATCAATCAACTCAGATCAGATCGACCTCGCGCGCCTCGTCAGTGTAACCTGACAGGCTAAGGAGGAGTGCTGCCGCGGTTGCACCGTCTCCTGTTTGATTTTTCTGCCGCCGACTAGACTAATAATCTGATTCCTCAAACGGGCCATATTCCCGCTGCCGTTAATCGCTCTCCCCTGTCTCTCCTCTCGGTCCTCAAAAGACACCCCGAGTTTATTGTTTCTCGCGTCAGGAGGATACACCAAATCAGCGATCTGAGTCATTCTTGCCGCCTCCAGTGAATTCTGCGCTTTGACAGCGCACCTTGCGCTCTGTCGCTATTCCCTTTCTCCCCTTCCTCACTCGTCTCCGTCCCGTTTCCCCCCCCTTCACCCCCTGTGTTGTTCTCCTACGCTTTCCTGCAGTCAGCATCATGAAATCGGGTCCATTGTCTCTATACGGTTCCAGATCGATCGGCGCTTCCTAGACTCCTGTCACGGTTGGAGCATGTCTCTGCCGGGACCAAATGTCCGTGTCAGCCTCGATTCCCGATACCTCGCTTGGCCTTACCTCCTCCGAGATCCAAATCCTACGGCAACAACAACAAATTGCACTCCAGAATGGGCATACTGGGAATGGCGTTTCCAGGGGCAGAGGGACTGGACGGACCAGCAACTCAAGCTCGCGCGCCGCCAGTGCGGCCAGCAGCCATGGTCGGTTGCTGTTGGATCCGATGAGCCTTCGAGCACTCTCGCATCAGTTGGACGGGCTGCAGGAACAAATTCGGAGTCGTATTGGTTATGTACGTATGCCGCATTCCTGCATTCCTTTTTTCTTTTCAAAATGTTACACCCGCTGCTATGTCTCCTACCTCGTTCTCTCCTTACTGGACTCAAAGGGTGTGTGATAGCGATTGCTATCCTTCTTCGCACACGAATGCGCTCGTCACATAGTTCTTTGCTAACACCCACCAGCTAGAAGAGCAGATGCAACTTTCCATCCAAAACAGCTATGACCGTGCAGGAAACGTCATTCGTAACGCTGACGCTGAGATTGCTCGTACTCGTTCCATACTCGCCTCGATTGATGACTTGGAAAATGAGCTCGCCAAAATAGGACATATCAGAGAAATTGTGAAAGCTTATCGCGGCAGGATAGAGAGTCTTGATCAACGTATTGACCAAGCTGCCCGCCGAAGACACTGACGCCGCATATACTACCATCTCATTCTCACACCGCATATCCGCATCTATATTGGACGTCCACACATACTCTAACTCTTACGAATTCTACGAAACTAACGACATGAAATCTTTCGCCCCGGAGGCTGTCGCATATCACTTGCCAGATTACCGATCGACTGGCGGATAATCCCTCAACGAGCCCACGTCTTCTCTTGCAGTGAACGCTTATATGATGAAGATGCTGTAACCCGCTAACAAAATGAAACGAATCCGAATCATGAACTGAGGATTCAGCAAACATCAAGAGTTCAAAATGCCCTGTATACAATCCCCGTCCTCACGGACATTGTTTCATGACAAACCCTATGCAGCTTTTGTAGTGGTCGACATGTGCCATTCACTTGCGATCTTTCTTTGCTCCTCACCTGACAACTCGTCACAAACTCCTTCTTTGTCTCTCTTTTGATTTACTTGTGTACCTGGGAAGGATATGCGCTTTAAAGACCTTCTTTTTGCCTCACGGCCATTGCTAGAATTTCGCATCATTGCGGTCGAAGTTTATTGGAAACCAGCCGATTAGCATGCTTTTGAATAGCGCTGTTTTCAGTCGATACCCTAAGGGCTCTTTCCTGCTGTTATTGTTTATTATTGGATCAAGCTTTTGATGGTCTAGTATGATACCAAGAAACGGTCAATTTACTCCATGATGTTGTCCATGTCAACTATCTGTCAACTATGTTATGATTTCGGACACACTGGTCCTGATTCCTATCGAGTCCTTCTTGTTTGAGCGACGTTGAAGCCATCCCGTAGAAGTTAACCACATTGCCCGCTAATCGACACCACAAATTAGTCACGAGACAGTTTCGTTTGCAAGGGCTCCCTCCGTTCCCATTCTGCCTCACAAGAGCACCATTCCAACTCAGGAACACAGGCTATGCCGGATCCAGATGACAATCGATACTCAAGTTCTAGAACAAGTGCTTGGACACGACCTTGATGGAGTCACGGCAACAAGCTCAGGCAAGACGTCAACCTGTCCAAGAGCAGCTTGAATACATCAACTGGCAGTCCGGGTCTGTCATCGTAAGCTCCTAGGGTCCGCAAATCGTGCTGGTGGCGCACAGGTCCAGCTCAAGGACAGCAACTGCGCTGAGTAACGTATGTCAAGCACATTCGCAGGGATATATGGGACGACAGTGGTCTCAGCATCGATTGCCGTTGGAGCAGGCAACATACAAGCTGCACATCTTGTTTGCCGGTCATTGGCCAGCTGGTAGCATTAAGAGAAGCCGAAGGCAGCATCGTCAAGCACCAACAAGATTTATGGCTTTCAATAGAGGGAGGAAGGTGACAGTGTCTCACCACCGTGTGCTGCGGATCTCAACACTAGCGACCGCGGCGATTATTCGAATGCGTAGAAACCGAAGCTCTAGCGTTCACTTAACATCTGGCTTCTCCGCTTGTGCTTTTTCCTTCCGATGTTCCGCAAGTTTCTTGCTCCGCTTCTCTGTTTGTGGAAAGCGCTTTTCCGTCTCACATGTAGTGCAACGAATGACCAGTACATCTGCCCAAGGTTTTCTGCGACCACGGCTCTCATTTCTAATCTCATGCGTGCAGTTGACACTGGGAATTAGAAGTGTGTCGCAGCGCTTGCAGAATGAGCGCTTGACTTCCACTGGGAGCCGCAGCTGAGATTTCAGGGACACTCCCCGCAAATGTGATATATAAACTCGGGCGAGTTGCGAAAGACGATCTGTGTCGTTTGACGGGCCTGTAGCAAACGACTGTTTCTGAGCTGCAATGTCAGGCCTTACAACATGTGGTTCAATCCTCGTTGAACCCGATATCTCTGGGTTTCCATTATCGGCTCGCTGGTCATCTGGTTTCTTCGAGGAAACCGCCACGGATTGAAGAAGGCTTGCGGCGTTATGAAGGTACGCCAACCGGGCTCGCAAATGACTGTTCACTCCTGAGGAGCTCTTTTTATCTTTCGCCTTGGCCATTTTGCAGCGTACAGGTCAATATGACCAGGAACGAGATGTGAAAATGATGGATGGATCCTAATTGTTGATGGACCCGCTCAGAAGCTTTAGAGGCTAGATGTGATAATCTGGGGGCTAACCGAAAACGGCAAGTAGCCTTCGAGAATGACTAATTGATCCAATCACGTGACTAACGAGTTCCTGATCTCTTCCCGCCATCCCTCGCGACTGCGATCTTCTCTTGTTCTCCATCGCCTTCTTCTACCTTCAACGTTAATCATCTTCCAATTCTTTCGTTCCATCTACAACCAAAGGGGATCCGACTCTTGATAAGCATCGTGACTTCTTTTCCCCCGATTTTCTCCATCTACGCTTCTATCGCACAGTCCCTGCCTCGGCTGCCTTGGGGAAAACGCGCCGCGACAAACACCTCACTTTGATCAACGCCATTCTTATTTTACCGTCCTACATCAACAATGTCTCACGAGGAGGATCTCATCGACTACTCCGACGAGGAGCTTCAGACCACTGACGCAGCAGCCACCACCGCTGCCCCCGCCGCAAATGGGGCCCAGGACAAGAAGGGCGACTTGACAGTTTCCGGCGGTCGCCCGGATAAGAAGGGAAGTTATGTCGGTATTCACTCGACCGGTTTCCGCGACTTCTTGCTCAAGGGAGAGCTTCTACGTGCCATCACCGATTGCGGTTTCGAACATCCATCGGAGGGTTAGTTAAATCACATTCTTCCCACAAGTATCCCTCCATTGCTCCGTGTTTCAACGTCCGTCCATCTCCGCGAGGAATGAATTGTCGCTTTTGGCCACCTATTCCGTTCGAGACTGCAGGGCACACCAGGTTGCAGGTTGTCTACGCGGAGTACCATGAATCAACTGCGCTGTGTCAATCAAGAGCCTTAATGCGGCTACTGCCCGGTTGCTTTGCTTCGGCTGTTTACGGCGAATTAGTCCTCGTGGAATTCTCGCAGGTGACATTCGTCCCGTTTAAGTTGGATGATGGTGCGCTTTTTGAACGCGACGAGTCTTGCCACCTATGACTGGACTATTCTCGTCCTTGTGCCGAGCGAAAAGTGTTTCTGTTTGGGATACGATCGCACGACCAACCTGTGCTTTGTTTTAAGCCTGTTGTGGATGCGGGCAATAATGCACTGTATGCCTCATTTTCGAATGACTCGGGGATGGACGGACAATGCGACACGGATTGCTTTTTTCGTTTTTCAAGTCTTATGGATCGAATACAAGTCTAACATACCGCTCCGCCTTACAGTCCAGCAAGTCTGCATTCCTACTGCAATCCTGAACGTCGATGTTCTCTGCCAGGCCAAGTCTGGTCTTGGAAAGACTGCAGTTTTCGTTCTTACTACACTCCACCAACTCGAACCCGTACCTGGAGAATGCTCGGTCCTTGTCATGTGTCACACTCGTGAATTGGCGTACCAGATCAAGAATGAATACGCCAGATTCAGCAAATACCTTCCTGATGTGAAGACCGCTGTCTTCTACGGTGGTACGCCGATCCAGAAAGATATCGAGGTTTTGTCGAACAAAGAGTCATATCCGAACATTGTTGTCGGCACACCTGGTCGTCTCAATGCTCTGGTTCGCGAGAAGAAGCTTTCTCTGCGCAACGTCAAGGCGTTCGTGTTGGATGAATGTGATAAGATGCTTGATCAGATCGGTAAGCAAGCGCAACTCGCTCGTACGGAAGTCCTTACTTACGTCTCGCCAGACATGCGCCGGGATGTCCAGGAGATTTTCCGTGCCACCCCCGCCGATAAGCAAGTCATGATGTTCAGTGCAACCCTCTCCCAAGAGATCCGACCCATCTGCAAGAAGTTCATGAGAAACCCTCTTGAAGTTTACGTCGATGATGACACCAAGCTCACACTCCACGGTCTCCAACAATACTACATCAAACTCAGTGAATCGGAGAAGAACCGTAAACTCAACGAACTTCTGGACAGCCTTGAGTTCAACCAAGTCATTATCTTCGTTAAGAGCACGCTGCGCGCGAACGAGTTGGACAAGTTGTTGCGCGAATGTAACTTCCCCAGTATTGCGGTGCACTCTGGTGTCAGCCAGGAGGAGCGGTGAGTGTTTCTATTGCTGAATTCCTGGGTGCAGCGGCTAATTCATGTTTAGCATCAAACGTTACAAGGAGTTCAAGGAGTTCAACAAGCGTATCTGTGTCGCCACGGATGTTTTCGGTCGTGGTATTGATATTGAGCGTATCAACCTGGCTATCAACTACGACTTGCCTGCTGATGCCGATTCGTATCTGCACCGTGTTGGCCGTGCTGGTCGTTTTGGGACCAAGGGTCTATCCATCTCGTTTGTCAGCAGCGAGGAGGATGAGAAGGTGCTCAAGGAAATTGAGAAGCGATTTGAAGTTGCCCTTCCGTACGTTCTTTGATTTTCCCCAGACCTGATGATTTGGATGCGACGACTAACAATTGCATAGTGAATATCCCGAGGGCGGTGTCGACTCCAGCACTTACATGGCGTGATTGAATAATAGATATGTTGTGGACAGTCAACATAATCTCTCTTGAACATGTTTGTATCTGGGCAAATTTGATATTCTGTTGCTGCTTAGTGGTGTCCTGTTTCTCTTTGGCGTGACGGTTCGGTTGTGATTATATGTCCGTCAGTGTCTCAGCTTTGCTTGGCTTTAGAAGGCACTGGTGAAAATGGGAAAGGATCTGAGACATCCGGCATGAAAAATGTATTCGGTTATAGGCTTAATTTGCAGGTTCCTTGAATGACGCTCCCATTGGTTCGCTGGCTTGTCCCTGGAGCCTAAAATAAGCTTGTCATTTGGAACTGTCGATCCCCGTTTGCTTTCAACACAGAATTGAGTAGGATTTGAGCACACCTCGTCTGATTGCTAATCGCTCTTTGAACATGATCAAAGAGCATTGAATACGTACAGAGTTGGCTCAAGCTGGTAATAGATCCGCACCATCTACCATTCTTCTTAAGTTTCACTGGCTAGAATCATAAGGCACCTAGAAGTCTTTCTTCCACAAAGAAGGAAGGAGACGGAAATTCATATCGACACGCAGTATGCCATAAGCTAAGGTACCTACACAATAAACTGAAGTTGCCAGGAATCCAATGACAGGTGCCATATTATAATTTCGTCCCGGTGCTTACCTTGATTTTTCAGGCACGTTCCAAGAAACATCCCGATACTGGCAGCACTAAATCCCGCCATCGCCAAACTCAACTCCTATTGACGAGCTTCCGGTCCACCACCCTGTCAAGGTCAGAGACGAGGCCCGTGGGCTCGTGGGACGCCACAGGCGAACGGATCTCCCAAATCACTTAAGCTAAACTAAGCCCAACCTAATTACATCCATGCCTTCCTTGTTTCGCAGGCGAACGGATCCTCTTAATTTTCCGATAAGTGACCACATTTCTTTTCACCTACCTTATTTGTACTTTGATCATCGTCCATATCCTGATTGGGGGGATAGAGTGCCTATGCCGGTCTACAAACGCCGGTTGAGCCTATTTACAACTTCCGGTGCTTTAGATGCGTGGTGCGCAGACTTGTTACCCTGCCAAGAGATGGTTGTCAACCTGTTAATTGGTGATTTGGGTTCGGGTTGAGGGTATGGCATGTTGATCTTAATTGCAGTACCTGTATAACTGAAGGAATACTTGGTCGTGCTCTTGATTGCTGGCTTATGCCGAGGCACCTATGGTAAGGTAGCTAGGTACGTAAGGCGGTGGTGAAGGTTTGGCAAGGGCAGAACCCATTCGTCGACAGTCGCTGCTGAAGATTCGGATCTTCAAGAAACGGGATAGACTCTGGGTAACCAGGGAAGGCTCAGACCCAACGGTGACACATGTGGAGCTGTCAAATGCTACACGCTATACCCCTCCATGAACTACTCTGTACATAGGTAAGCTCGTGGCGACTAACTCTCATTGTCAAAAAAAAAGTTTATGTCTCCGTCAGAGCTCCACGCAACACAATTCGTGTCTTGCGGGGATGTGTGGATAAATGCTCAAGCCATGATGACGTTGAAGACGTCGACTATCACAACTACTAGTGCGCCACTACCGGGGCGGCTGCTGCGTATCCAAGTATCCATTTGATTACCGTTTGTTCTTTTTTTCTTTTTACTTTCTGGCTGTTATTGTTGTCGGCTGTTTGTGCCTGGAATACACAGTACTAACGAGTAAAATAGATGGCGCTGCCGATCGCTTTCTCAATGACATGGGTGTGGCACAATGATACTCTGGTGGTTACTCAATGGTCACTGACAGGATCAATTGGATTCATTAGCTTTGATGGGAAGTAAGCAGACGCGCACACAGAATCGCAAAACAGCATAGGGAACTGGTTCGCGTCAGTATGGGCCCAACAGTACCTCTTCCAGGTACTTACTGTAGTCTGTAGTCGTACTCGTGGCTTGTAAGCGGAGACGGCTACGGCCGCGATGGGTATCCCACGGGACAAAGACATTCTCGAATGACAAGGACAAAGGTATTGACCGAGTCATGAAGTGTTGGATTGAGCGGCTGATTGATGCTTTCGGAATAATTTTCGATTCAAATCGCCCCTACCTTCCGTGGACGCTGTCTATTCCCATTCTCATGGAGAGTTGGAATGAGGATGTGGCTGAGCTGTCCGCATGCGGAAAGGGACAAAGTGCACTGACAATCTGGCACCTGCAGGCAGGCATTGTGTCCCATGATCTACAGCATATCTTAATTTCGATACATCTCATGATTCATGATGAAGTAATTATGGATCACCGGCTTTGGGATTGACATGACTCTATTTGTTTTTTTCTCAAAGTTTTAGATGTTTATGCTTAATAGGTATTGTCTACAAGTATTGAGACAGTATGTGCATAACTAGAGTTGGCATAAGTTATTTGCTGCTTAAATCTCCTGCTCTCAGTCTCGGTATTCAACCATACAGCTGTGATGATTGCTTCCCATTGATAAGTAGAATCTCTCATCTGATTATTGCGCTTCAACTGCAATCAACCTAAACGTACTCCATTGCGTACTCTGTGCTCCGTAGATATAGGATCCTCTGCAGCATGGACGCATCAATCTCCCATGGCTGGCAAGCAGCACGCTAATTGGAAAATTGATAAAAGTACCTGAACCTTCAGACCCACAAAACGTACCATAGATAGAAACACCAGCTGTCCAGAATAGCCTATGGAGGACAGCTTGCACGCGGTGATTCGTCCTGACGATCTACTCCTGTCAGAGCTAGTCGGGCTAGTCTAGTATGTTTCCAGACTAAGGCACGTACTATCTACCTTGGAGATCAGGTCCACTTCCGCAAGTAAATTTGTTTTGGATTTGAATCAGCTCTAGTAAAACTTTGGAGGTCTGGACTCTGGACTCTGTGTTTTGGTTGGTTTGAGCTGGTTTGGAAATTTTTTTTGTCTTTTCTTTTTTTCCTTTTTCCATGCACACAAGAACTCAATTTTCTGGTCATGGTTTTGAGAGAAGACAAATGTATCACTCCATAAGGGCTTTCTATCCCTTGGTGCCTGGATTTGGCTGAGTGAAGAGGGAAGACAGTATGGATAGGACATTAGAACCGCCGCCAAGGCTAGAGATCGTTGTTGATAGCGATCTGAAATTTGCCGTCCTCATGGCTGATACGAGTTTCATAATAATGATAATCTTCAGATCGATAACGATTTACTTGAGGCACAGACACCTACCGGACGTCGAAAGCCTCATGCTGAATCCCGGGCAAATTTACCTGACAACAAAGTCACGTCGCGTCGAAGAAGCAAGGTACCCGACATGTCAGACAGGCCTGCTGTAGTCTGTACGGAGTATTGCTACTACGCCCTGCAGCCGTAAACAGCACATGTATGCCGTACTAGCATTCATAACCACTGGTAGTGCTGAACTGCTAGCAGGGTGAGCGTGTGATGACTGCAAACAGCGAGATGCACCCTGGCGTCGATGTCGATCCCTACTCCGGCCAGAGCGGTGGCATGTTGGCTGACGGGTGACCATCGGACAACCAACGATTCATCGACCACCGCCTCCCCCTTGCAAGGAAGGAGGCCTTTACTTCGGTTCCTACCCCCTTTGGTTCAATAGCTGTAGATTTTGACGAGGATGTGGTATTGATTCCTGGAACTTGTGAAAGCGACAAGTGGCGATTCAGATTGCTTAGATTTGCTCAAGCAAGTCGGATTGACTTTGCAAAGGCATGTCAACTTTGTGAATCGAAGAAAAGAAATTATGAATTAAGGAAAGGGCATCGGTGTTCATGGTTGGTTCCTTACTACTCCGGAGTAGGGATATCGTGACTCAGTCCTCAGACTCGTACAGCTGCTTTGGTGCGGAAATGTTTACAGGGTATGTGTGAGGTGTACCCAGGCATCACCCTAGAGTCAGGAAAGCTCATGGGGTGATGCTGTTGAGGTCGTCAGTTGGTCTGACAACGAGGGAAGGGCTGGGAAAATTGCTGATCTTATATGAGTAGGTGGACAGCTGGATGATACCTCATGGGTTTGATGCTATTATTAAGGTATCTTTCTGTTTCTGTTGGAATTATTGATTCTTATCGTTCCAGAATCATCAGTCAGGTACTGATACTGTAGCAATTTGTGCCACTTAGGTACCATAGTCAATTATGAGATTCGGGCCTAAATTCGCCCATCGACCAACAGACCAAGTGGGTTCCGGGTGGGTTCTGGTGACGGGGAGATTTGCATCAGTGGCCGATTTGGCTGGCTTAGCGGATTTTGCGGTCGCTGTGGCTCAGTATTTTGATGTGACATGAATCATGATGAATATTAATGTGCTGTCTCAATTGCATGATTGTCTGTTTTAATAAGAGCTTTGCATCTTAGAACACTTTCAAGACGACAGTGTATACAGAGTACATCTATTGATTGGAGTATGATGACATTCGAGGTAGAAAGCTGATTAGCGTAGGCTCTTAGAGTTAGACCCGGCAGTGCACCGATGAAACAAAACTGGGAAGCCAGACACTAAAGAACATAGATTCCAAGTTTTTTAAGAAATTAGTTTAATGACGATTCCGATATTATTAAATTACCACCTATCTACACACTTGACAGCCATTATCCTGTAGACTATGCTAGCATCTAAACAAAAAAGATAGTCAAGGTAGATATGAAGAGAAAGCAAAAGGAAATGCCAGAGACAGGGGAAATATTCGCTATCACTGTTATCCAATGCTTGTTCTATTTGTAGTATCCAGTATCGAGTGATATCTGGTAGTATTGTAAAAAAAAAGTGGGCTCCTCCGTAAAAAATACAGAAAAGGAAAAACAGCATCATCCAGAGTTATCAACAATCCAGATTGCTGGAGGTGTACGGAGTAATGACGGATAATAGGTAGACAGCGCTTTTGTTCTACCGAAACAATCTGTAGTCATCTTTCGCTTTCGGTAACTATCTGTCTCTCTAATTTTCCCCTCCTTTAATCGGTGACAGCGAGAATTCTTCTTATCGGCCGTCTCCCTGCCTCTTTCTTCCCGTTTCCGGATTCGAGCCCTGGCGGGGGATCCACGGCCGTTGAAGCAACCCGTCGTTTAATCGTTTACAGCCAGTTGGGCGTAAAGAAAGTAAAAAAAGAAACCAAAAAAAGAAAAAAAAGACGTGACTACTCAAACTTCTTTCCACTGGTTTTCTCTTCCGCCTACAGTCGAAGACGAAGAGTGCACTGAACAAACAGGCACCTTCTGGCAGTGGCAGTAGTAGGTAGCAACAGCACTGCTCTGCTCCATTTCCAATCCATCCCAGTCTCTCATCCCATCCCCTCTTTCTTTTCTTCTTCATCTAATCCGCGTCAACCTACCTAAACTTACCTACCTACCTACCTAGCTTCCGATCCTATCCTTCCTTTCCTCTCGTTTGTTTTCTGGTTCTTTTCTCCTGTTCTCCTTCCTCCAGATACCAAAAGAACTCCATTTGTTGGAATCCCTTACATTCATTTTCTCCTTCGACTTTCAGGGCTCCTCTCGCTATCCTAGTCTAGTGAAACCGACTGATTCCGCACCCTGGCTTTGGTTGTGAAATTGCTTTCATTTGTCCCGTGGTAGGCAGCGTCAATCGCGCCTTTGGGACGCTCGATCCAGAAATCTTGCATTTCCAGCCCAGCAGTCCATCATATATTGATTCCTATTTCATTTTAATTATCGACTTCTGGTCCGCCGCGACGCTTCCTTCCTCTTTGGTTCAAAAAAGCTATGGCTCCTCCGCCGCGCTTGCGCATTTTATCAGGTTGGTGTTCCAGCTCTTATCTGCTGCTCAAAATGATCTTCACATCTTTTCTACAACAATTCACTACCACAAGATCCAAATGAGACTCATGTCCGGGATCATGAAAAGACTTCCGCAGCATCCGCCGCAACCCGAAATGAGCCCAAAGCTAACTCGAGCTTGTTTAGTCGGTAGTAATGCTATTTCGGCGTTCCTCTCCTGGCGACTTCAGGCTACAACGTCCTGTGATGTGACTCTTGTCTGGAAATCAGGATTCGAATCAGTATCTCAGTATGGAGTATCATTTAAGTACGCTTCCTCTTGACTCGCCGTCTTTCCGCTCAAAGCCCATTTTCTAATCGGCGAAACACACAGGTCGAAAACATATGGCAATGAACGCTTCAAACCCCGTCATGGTATGTTCTCTCATTATGGCTTGTGTATCACTCGCAGTAAGCTTGCTAACATGTACGTGTTTCGCTTTGTAGTTGTTCGCGCTCCTGAAGAAGCAGCATCTCGAGAGAACGCATACGACTATGTCATTCTGTGCGTCAAGGCGCTGCCCGACGTCTACGATCTTGCATCTGTTATCGAGTCCGTCGTCACACCTCAGCATACATGCATCCTCGTGAACACAACGAATACCCTTGGTGTAGAATCTCAATTGGAGCAGCGGTTCCCCACAAACGTGGTCCTCTCCCTGGTTTCCGGCGTGGAGATTTCGCAGACTGGGGCTAGTGAATTCGAGCATTTGAATTCGTCAGACATCTGGGTCGGTGCAACGAGCAACAATTCCAGCATCCCGGCATCGATTCAGAATGATATGGCTGCTGCTCTGGCAATGACTTTGAGCTCAGGCCAAGTCAACTGCAGGGTGTCGGAAAACATCAGACAGGAACAGTTCGAGCGCATGATAGGGTGAGCATACACCGGCCGCTTCAGTTCCCTCGGGTCCGCTTTCCTTTTTTCCTGCTAACTCTTTCTTCTCCCGCAGACCTATCGCCTTTCAGCCAACAAGTGTTATGTTTGAGACTTCGAGTCATGCCCAACTCCTCGAGAAAGTCGGGGTCCGCCAACTCGTGACTGGTATCATCGAGGAGCTCATCGAACTCGCGAAATCACAAGGCTGCTCGTTCCCAAGTGACTTCGTCCAGAAGACGATCGAGAAGATGGTTGCCATCGAGTCACCTAGCACAATGTATCAAGATTTCCAATCGCGACGTCCAATGGAGATAGAGACATATCTTGGGTCCCCAATCAAATTGGCGACGGAGTCAGGTATCCGGGTTCCGCGAATCGAGACACTTTACGCTGCCCTACATCACATCAACACAAACAATCTTCACAAACCCTCAACCAATGATACGCCTCCCCCCATACTAGCTCAGCCACCTCCCAGAATGTCTTCGGCACCTCCCCCAAGAAACGGTCCTATGCGGCCTCCGCCTGGTGGCAGGTCCGGCTCGGGTATGATGATACCTCCTGGGCGCCGTGGGTATCCTATGCCCGGAATGTCAAGGCCACCAAGCGGACAACCCCTTCCACCTTCGGCCAGGATACCTCGCGAACCTTCTCTTGAGGGACTCGAGGAGTTCAGCCATCTGGTCGTATATGACGAGTTTGCGGAAGGAGGCATGCCCCGCCAGAATGGCAGTAACGGCATGCACGACATGCCGCCCGGACCTCCGCCTGCAGCTGCAGATCTGGCCCTGAGAGAACGGGAATTGGCCCTCCGGCAGCGAGAGTTGCAGCTTCGCGAGCAAGAGATGCAGATGCGACGAGGACCTCGTAGTAGGGCAGCGCCATCCAGAGCAGCAGCGTTCGATGAAGATGACGAGGATGATTATTTCGATCCCATGGACAACATCCCTATTCCGCATATTGACCCAGACAGCGTCGATATGATGAGCATCACATCGCGCAGGACAAGAAAAGCCCCCAGCGCGAGTCAATTCCGGAAAAATCCAGAAATCAGTGTCAATGGCAGGCCCCAATCATCCTTCAGTCGGTACCTCCCAGGTCGAAAACGCACCAGCGAGCGTATTATGCAGGAAATCCCTGGGCTTCATGATTCCCTTATGGACAACCCCATGATGGCCTATTCATCTAACCGGTACGGATCCGTTGATCGAAATCAAATACAAGCTGGGTCCCGTGCGAATTCCATGACGGCTAGCAGAATGGGTGACTTCCCGCCACACCCTTATCCACAGAGTCGGAGAAACAGCCAGTCCCCTGCTACCCCCTATGGTGGACCCGGTCCGCGAATGGGACGACCTTCAACCGCTCAAGATCAACCTCTCGGTCCCCCTGGTCCTCACGGCGGCCATCCATCGCCGCCTGGCAACATGCGGGCACCTGTTCCGAAATATCCTCCTGGACATGGCAATGCGGTAGGTCCGCAGCAAGTTGAGCAACATTATGGGGTGAGCAACCCGTATCCCGCCAAGGGCACTCCCAAGCATAGAAGTCTGACTGGAAGTGCGAGCGCCAGCGCGGAGAGTGGTGATAGCGGAGCCAGTGCGAATCTGGACTCCGAAGCTTCCGCCCATAGCAGCCAAATCAGCCTAGGTGCTCAGCAGGCTGCAATGCCGGTTCGTTAATTGGCGAGCCTTGGCCTCTCTTCTGAGTCTCCTCAGACCGTTGTTGAGCTTTTACCTCGTTGATTTCTTCATGTCTTTGTCTTCCTGCTTCGTTTCTGCCAATGGGATCGGCGTCCACGCTATTGACATCGAATGCTTGGATTCCACTTAGACTTGAATCAGTACAGACGCTCGCCGACGTCAGGAACGGGGTCAATCACTTATAATACTGTGTTGTTCGCTGCTCTACATATACACAAGGGACATAGGGGTCATCTTTCTGTTTCATCATGCTTTTCGTCTCGGGGTTTCGGAGTGGCGGGCGTGCTTTTGCGTTTGTTGCTTTGCTCACTATCTCCCTTTCCCGCAGCACTCTTTTTAATGACAGCGAGTCCAAAGCTCGGCCTTGAAAAATTTGCCTTTTCTTTTTTTACTTTCGCAGCTAAACCACTGCCAATAACAAGTCGCAATCATTCAGCTTTGCATTCCATTTTCCCCTCTGCATGACCGTCATTGTTGTACACTACCTGTACCGGCGCATCATTCTTGCAAGCAGCTTCTCATGTCCTCTATATCATCTTACCATCTTTTTTTTCCCCCTTTTTCTCCTACCTGCATGCCCTCCTTTCTGAATTTCCTTGCATCTGTTCTGAATTTTTTTAGGGACTTTGCAAAAGTCCAGCAGCCTTTGTCACTCGCAAGTTCATGGTCTGGTTCTGGCGCATCAAAACGAGCAAGGGTTCTGACTTATCCGGTCGATCGATCGACTTAATCTGGCTGAGTTCGCGCCTCGCGAGGTAATCACGAGTGAGGGCGGTCCTCTGAACTGTAACGGCTTCATTTAGTGCAGGAGAACCGTTCTATTGAGCAACGAATGAGTGCAGAAGAACACATGATTGATAGAAGATTATCCTGCCATGTCGCGATGAGTGTTTCGAATAATCCACACGTTTGCATAAACCGAAAGAGACTGAATCACTAGAATAACCTCGTAATAGCCGCCTTCTAGAAAATTCATTTCAAGCTTTAACCCATAGGCACTGTGCTTGATCTCCCTTGACACTGAGTACTCGAATCAGACGAGCTTATTAGGTGTTGTCGCTTGGTCTCCATGGTGCCACGTGACCATCGCAACCGGAAACAAAGCATCAAAAAGGCCGCGCGAAATTTACCTCTCTCCCCATAGTCGACTCTCTTACCACATCGAGTGTATAGCGTGGATCGATAGTACTCTATCAGAGCCTCGGGTATTTACAATATCTACATCTGCATCGAAAAGCCAAACGCCTACGCACGCAACAATGCCACCACCATCCCACCAACACCACCCTTCTCAGTCCTACCCCCGCCATTCCATCCTCCCAACTTCAACCACCGCATCGGCCTCGTCAGGGATGGGAAACTCCGGCATGTCAGCCGCCAAAACGCGGCAGTACGCTCATCTGCATTCGCAATTGGAGCAGTTGAATGCCAACCTCGCCGACACGCAGAATCTGCTTCGCATGACGGCTGTGCAGGCGGAGGATATGCGCTTTCTGGGCGGGTATGTCGGGGCTTTGTTCATGGGGTCTGCTAAAGTTCTGGGGGAGGAGGGGGTGAAGGGGAATTCAGGTTCCGGTTTAGCTTCAAGTGGTGAAGGGGATAAAGGAGAGGAGGCAAAGGTGAAGACGGAATCTTGAGGGAATCTCCGTCGTTACGGGTTGTCGGGGTGAGTATCTTTCGTGGACTCTTGGATGGTATTGCAGGATGCTATGATGTGGTTATATCTGGGATTCGCTATCTATATTGTATGTTGGGATATGCTGACCGACGCAGATGTCTTGCGCCCCGTGGGGAGATCTGTGTCACGGCCCTACTCTTCTACGACGAAACCGGCTGTACCGAGAATGATTGCCGGTTCGTTGATGTTGTGGTGTTCGTAACTGGGATTGTTAGAAAGAGACATATCGAGGGGAGCACGCTCACTGAGAATAACTCACCTCAAGGTGCCGACTCCGCCAGCTTCCAGGATCAATGTCGTCTCCGAGAGTGGCTTTCCGGTCCAGCGCATGGCAAACGCGCGCAGAATATGGCCGTGTGCGACGATTAGAACGTCCCCTTTGCCGTCTGACGAGTTCTCAAAGCATTTACTGTGGTATTTCCCCCTAATCTCGGCGATCAAGGCATCAAGTCGACGAATGACGTCTTCCGGGGATCTGTTCGGGTTCACTTTCATCAGCTGCTGCGCAAGTCCTACCACGAAGGGGATTTCAGGCTTGCAGCTTGAAACAGAGCGGGACCATACTCTCCACCTGGACATCCGTCCCTCCAGATATCCCACGGCCCCTGGCCATTCTTCTCCCGCAGCTCTCTGATCTGCTTACTCGTCAATCCTTCATAATCGCCATAGTCCCATTCCCGGATCGCGTCGGTGATTTCCACCTTGGCTTCCGTGCGGATGGGTTCCTCCTCTTCTGATTTTCTGGCCTCAGTCCATGGAAGTCTCTCTTTGCAGCCGATTTCGAGGAGCTCGAGGGTACGTTGGGCGCGAGTGCGGGGAGATACGTAGCTAGTCGGTCAACGTTAGCATCAACATATCAGCATGGCGCAGCTCGCCATTTCTTGTTGTCATGTACACCAGATTGTCTCCAATCAAGGCTTCATTTTAGAATAATTCCAGAATACATAGACATACACATGCACCAGCTTCTTTGGAGCGATCAGTCGGTCATTGCCGACCAGCGCTTTGCCCGTCGCCTTGATCCGTTTCTCGCCGTTTGCTGTAAGCGGCAAGTCGGTGATGCCGGTGTGCCGCCCGTTAAGGGACCATTCTGTCTCGCCGTGACGGACAATGAAGCAGCGGGGCGTCATTTTTCCCCTTGTATTTGCAATATCTGATTTCCGTGTACGATGCTTAATCGAATCAACCCTGGTAGCGACAGAAAGTAAGTGGGAAATCCAAGATTGCGCTGCGGGTGAGGGGGCACATTATTTAGTCTGGTGGGTAACTGCGTCATTCGAGCTGATAATCAACGCTTATCGGGCTTGTCTGTTCCGCGCCTCTGTACCTCTCCATCAACTGCGTAAAGGTAGTAGGCAAAGACAGAGGAACAGATTCTAGACTTTTATATAATAATCACTGATGATTACGATAATACTACATAAGCTTGTGTCTTTATACTTGGCACCAACACCTTGTACCTAGTAAGGAGGAATTCTATCGGTAATGGCCCAGTAGCCAATGCACGAGTACTCGTGTTCAGCCTTTGCAGGCTCTGTTTCTGAGCGTCATGAAACTGGAGAGCTTGCACCAGGCGTTATCAGTGAGTCCATCCGGGTAAGTTGATAGTTGATACTGGATACCATCATTACCCATTCCTGCTGATAATGGATGGAATTCCCTACCCGTGCTTGGGTAGTAAAATATAAACAGTGCAGACTGAAGGAGCTCTGCAGCTTGCATATTGCTCACTATTAAGTTAATCTCTTATAATTAATATAAGATTATTAAATACAGTAGTAGTGTTACTTTATTATGATAAGTAGTAATTATTAAAAGTTTAGAGGGTAGTAATAGCATATAATGAAGTAAGAAAGAAAAGATAAGGTGAGCAAAAAATATACAATAGCATGTATATGTTGGTGCTCTGTGAGAGCACTTATAGAATGCTCTCTATTATATAACGTAATTCCCGGCCAAGCGAGACACCCGGCCAAGCGAGACACCCAAACCCATTAGAAAATTTCAAAATCGATTATCTCAACCAACACCTATGAATTTAGCTAAATATAGCGATTTTTACATGAATTGATCCTGTGGCCAATCTCCCTACACCCACTACACCTAGGCGGAGCCCTCTTCGCTGGTTGATCTGCCTGAATAGGCAATTCACCCTGCCCATGCGATTCTACCGCAGGTGCTTCTGCTGGCAAATCTGGCTGTACAACTAGCTGTAGACCCTCTTCAACGGTTAAACCCTCTTCGCAGGGTATCTGCCTAGTTGACCGACTGCGCTTCTTCACCACCTTCTCATTTGCTGCGCGTAGATTCGCATTTTCTTGCGCTAGTAGCGCGGTGTTATGTAGCGCTATACAGTGGCCCTTGATAATCTGATCTAGTATGGTTTTTGATGGGCTCGGAGGGCTATTTGACCGCTGTTTCAGTAGGTTTTTGAGCATAGAAGCTTGCTTCTCTAGCTGAATCACAGTTCTGGGTGTTTTTGGTGTGAATTGGCTAGACCTGCTATTTGGCCGGCTGCTTGGTGGTGTAGGCGTTTGTAGAGAGATATTAAGCTTTGAAAGCACTCTTTCTGCATCAACTGGTACTAGGCCACTAGCTGCAAAGCTATTCTGAATAATAGCTGGCTGTTGGAAGGCCTCTAGCCGCGCACATTGGTAGTTATCCAAGAAATCCAACTTGTCAATATGGTTATATCCTCTCCGCGCAAGATCACTTATAAAGCGACCGTACGCGCGCTTAAGCACTGCAAAGCACCCAACATCAAGCGGTTGTAGTAGGTGCGATGAATGTGAAGGCATATAAAGAGGAATAATATTGTTTTCTGCGCAGATCCGGTCGAATTTGGGTGTAAGATGACTCCCATGGCCGTCAAGAATCAACAGCTGAAACCGGCCTCGTACACGCAAATTTGTGTGTGGGATAAAGTGCTTTTGTAGCCAGCGAAGGCCTATCTCATCAGTAGTCCAGCCATTATTTGAGACCTCAAACCGCCAGTCTTTTGGTAGGTTATCAAACCAACCCGCAATAGCAACTTTGCCCTTGAATATCACACATGGCGGTAGTGAATAGCCATCTGCGCAGATTGCCTCGATAGCAGTAACCCATTCACGATTTCCTGGCTGTAATATTGAGCGCCGACCATAGTATTCAGCTCGAGTAACCACCTTCTGCGCTGAAATAAGACCCATTGCAAATCCTGTCTCATCAAAGTTGTAAATATCCTCTAGTTGGATACCGTTCTCATTAATAATGCATTGTACAGTTGCAAACCACTCTCGTAGTGATTTTGGGTCTTCATTTAGGGCACGCCGGTAATCATAACGTCTTGAAAAGCGTGTACGAAGCTCATCACGTCGCTTAATAAAGGCTGATGGCCAATTCTTGCCTACAGTAGGCGAAGGGTTGGTTCCGCGCGCAGCAAGAAGGATATTAGCCATTTCTGCTACAGTAGCAGGTCTAGGCGCTGCTCCACGCGTATCCATAGAGATAATCCACTCAGTAAGCGAATCCTCTTCTAATTTAGTCAATTTATGACCAGGGGGGCGTTAATCAACGCGTGGAAGGCGTCCCTGGGCGCGGTGGTGTAGTGTAGCAGGCGGTATCTCATATAACTTCGCTGCTGCACGGAGAGATTTGATGCGGCCATTTTTAATATCATCAAGAGCTAATAAGATCCTGCCCTCCTGATTGGCCGATTTCTGTTGAGATTCAGAGCGAATTGGTGGCATGGTAGGTGGTTGAAGTTGTTATGTAGGTAGGAAGACGCGATTTTGGATGGGGTGTCTCGCTTGGCCGGGTGTCTCGCTTGGCCGGGAATTACGTTAGTAGATAGCATGGTAGTAGCAATACCTTTAACTTATAGTTAAACTAATTACTAAGGTGTGAGCATCTCCCGCACCTCAGCAGAGATAATATCTCTGTGGGTCACGTGCTACCCACATGACCACCCGCAGTTTACTACGTACATGTTCTCTGTGTCTAACAGGATTATTTAGTAATATACTGCAGGCTGCCTCCTTAGGAGGACATTATAAGATTATATAGATGCTATTAGAACAGGGAGCTAATATTAATACCTAGGGTGGATTATTAGGTAATGCACTGCAGGCTGCCTCATCCAGAGGACATGAAAAGTTTATATAGATGCTCTAATCAGTAAATCTACCTATAAAGCAGACAATCCAGACATCTTATGATTTTCCTTCTAAGAGGTTAAAGATTTCTTAATCTATAAACTATATCTCTTATAGTATAGTTTAGTTATACTTACCTTCTTATATACTTACTGCATAGCTTTCCTTTCTATTACCTAACTATTCTAAACTCTAGATAGTAATAATATTTGTAGCTCCCATATTATGACCTAACTGTGGTCAAATCTGCCGCACTCTAGGTCTAATAGTATACCATAAAAATCTGCCAGTATCCAGCTTTGTAAATATCTTGGCTTGAGATATGCTATCCAGAATCTAATTAATTAAAGGCGGTGGATAATGGGCCTGTTTTCATAATGAGATTGACCTTGTGATCATCCACCTAGAAATAGGGTTCTCCAGACTTTTTTTTCACTATTAAGATTGATGATGTAAACAGCACATTGCTTAGGATGATGAAACCTTTGTGTGTAACTTATTAATGATGTACTATTTACTGCTTCAAGTTCCTCTGTGCTTATTACAACCGGCCTTATATCATATTATTTAGCCGTTCCAATTCTCCCCTGCAGGTTGGAAGGGTATCTATTTCCCTCTCTGAGAAGCCATCTGCCATTGTCCAGGCAGAACTTGCTTGACCTCAGCTAGTTTGTCTGACAATGGAAGATCAGATAGAAAGATAAAGGCAATGAATTCTTGTTTGAGTCATATCATGAGAAGAATAAAGGTAGAGAGGGAAGGGAGAGGGTTGAAGGACCAAAGGTGTTGATGGGGGAATATCATGAAGCCCCGTCAGCCCTAGCCCTGAAGTCTGAACCCTTGCCCTGTGTCCTTGCTTCCTAAATATAAAAACTACATGCAAACTACCTAAACCATGAAACATTATCAGAGTTCAGTGCAGTGCGGTGCAAGGTCATCAGAAATCCCTTGCATCTACATGATCTTTTGCACGTCCTAGCTGCTTGCATTCTCCGCTTGCAGTATTTGCATTTATTTAGTGATGCTTGGATTGTTTTGCTGACTAGCCATGGTCCGTTTGGAGGTTGGTGACCATAAAGGATTTGTGCCTTTTAACATTTTTGGGCGGGCCTTTAATTGCACAAGGCGCTGCTTTTGCTCAAATATTGGTCTAAGACCAGCAAACACTGCTTATTTGAACTAATACAAGCGAGGAAGATTACATACAAGGATTGCTTGTGTTTCAGATCACCGCTTGTTCTGTCGGAGGACGGTTCTCTGCGATCCTCTCATACCGAATCTCGCTCAGGTCAAGCGTTTGATATTCTCCATGCACGGCCAACTCGGCAACACAGCGCCCGCAGGCTAGAGCTTGTTGGCTCCCGTGGCCAGAAAGCCCACGCAGAAAACTGACCTCATTAAGAGGGCCAATGATAGCATTATGATCAAATGTGTTGAGCCGGTAGTGACCGTTCCAGGCATCGGTAACCTGTGCACTGGCGAATTGTGGGATTCAACGCTTGAGTACAGGCAGAATCTTGTCTTTCCACGCATCCTCCGCGAAACTCAAACCATCCACATCCACCGCAGTGTCTGGTCCGACGGGCGGGCAACCGACCTAGGTAGTCGTGTGCTCCATACGAGCGAAAATGGACACCTGTCGGATCGATCGTCAAGGGAGATCTTTGGGCAGTGGTTCATTGACAGAGAAGATGTAGGTATATCGGCGCCTGGCCTCGATGGGCAGATCCTTTCCCTCCAACCGAGAGAACGAGTAAGCACGGATTCCTGCAGCGTTGACGAGAGTACTAGTTGTAATCTCTTCACCACTCTGCAAAGTGATATTTCGGACGTGGTTGCCCTCCAAGGAGATGTCAACCACCTTGTTCTGGATGTACTCGACACCGTTTTCGCAGGTTGTTTTGCGTAGCCAACCAACCATGCCGAGGGCATTAAACGCACCCCCATCCACAAGATTAAGTCTTGCACTGTCGATATCCCCAGTGTGCAGGAACGGATAGTTCTCGTTGATCTCAGTTGCGGATCGAATCCGGGTGCCCCCTTCGCAACTGGCCTGCTTTATAGTAGGAGAGTCGCCTTGGAACCATTAATTCCTCATAAGGGCGCATCGTTCATTTATTCCGGCTAGGCGACATGGCGTGAGATCAGGTACATGATGGTCCGCATTCTCCTCATTCGCCGATAGAGCTGAAGCATTTGTGATGATTTGGACGCACGTCGAACGACCTGAAGATTCTCAGTCGGGTGTTGGACGGGTTTATGAGTCTGATAGAGCCACTTGCAGCAACATGCCAGGTCAATCCAAATCATCTAGTAGGAGTTCGAAAATATAGACGACGATTTCAGGAGGGAGGGGAAGATAACATATTTTCAAATGTGACAGGCTCGAGCATAGACCAAAGCAGCGTCCAGTACTCGTGAAAGGAATGAAATTTTGAGATACACATTTGCCAGAAGCAGTCGGCCTGCTGTCTCAGGGATTACTAACGTAGCCTGGGCCAGATTGATCAATGCGTTATCATGGTTAAGGAGGGTCATGATATTGCGTGCGAAACTCCGTCACGCTTATGTGATAAATCTAGAGTGCTGGACAGGACACGTCAGCAGAACAGGGGTTGAGCGGGGTCACTAGGTGAGCAGTATTGAGGTTCAGGCGATTCAGGCGATTCAGGTGAACCGAGTGAAGAGGATGAAGACAGGGCGGCGAGGGCGCTAACAATGAATTAAAGAAACAAAAAACATACAACAGCCGGGATTCGCTGGTGGTCACCCACCCAACTACTAACCGGCCGGCGTGTGGCTTAAGTACGGCTGAGCGGACGGGAAGCCCTGTTTTCCACACCCTATGGTCGTATGTGCTAACAATAGAGTATAAAGTGAGATATATAGCATAGAAAGCACATGAAACAGCCCAAATCTTTGAGGCTTCACTTCCTTGCTCACCGTCCGTCATGGGAATATGTAGTTCCTATTTCATCATATTGCCAGGGTGCCCAACATATCTGGCAAACTATCAACAACCACCCTCCTATTTCATTTCTGTTATCTGATATTCCGTACTTATTGCAGGTTATGAAGATGGATACAGACAAAAATTTTGTAATGATGGTATGACAAGGAGTTTCATAGCTAGTCAGGCCCCTAGTCTGTCAAAGCGACAACTCCCTGGTAAATTAACATCATCAGTCTGCAGGACAACACTATTATCTGCACCTTTCTCTAGCAGCAGGTGTATGAGCTCTTTATCACCTACACTTAAAGCCGCTTTGAGAGCACTGCCATGTTCCGCACATTAACAGTAGCGCCATTCTGTAGGAGCAGCTGTACAATCTCCTTATGGCCTTCATAAGAAGCAGCCTCCAGAGCACTGCCATAATCTCCCCCCTGAGCATTAATATCAGCACCATTCTCTAGGAGCAGCTGTACAATCTCCTTATGGCCTTGACTAGAAGCAGCCTGCAAAGGAGTTTCATAGTAGCCCCCCTGGCCATTAGCATCAGCTCCTTTAACTAGGAGCAGCTGCACAATTTCCTTGTGACCTTCATAGGAAGCAGCCTCTAAAGGACCGCCGTAATCAAATCCACCACCGGGGGCGTTGGCGTCGGCACCATTGGCTAGCAATATCTCTACAATATCCTTATGGCCTTGAGAGGAAGCTGCCTGCAGAACATTGCCACCAGCAAGCCCACCGCTGCAGGCGTTGACATCAGCATCTTTTTCCACTAATAGCTGTACAATGTCCTTATACCCTTGAGAGGAAGCAGCATGCAGTGCACTGCCATAATATAATCCACGGGTGGGGTTGTTGACATCAGCACCCTTCTCGACTAGTAGCTGCACAATTGCTTTATGGCCCTGAGAGGAAGCAGCCTTTAAAGCATTGCCATATCGACCGCCCTGTGCATTGACATCAGCACCTTTTTTTAACAATAGCTGTGCTGTATGTTGCAAGCCTGCTAAGGATGCCAAATACAACGGAGTTGGCATGCTCCCATCTCGCCATCGCCGCTCTCCAAAGAGTTCAATCCAGACTGCGGATACTTGGCTTTGATGGTCGAAGAAATTCAGGATTCTGTCCGAGACATCCTTCTCAGTCTCAACAGTCCTTGCATGGTACATCCAGTATTGCGCAGAGTATTCGGCTAGCGGAAATTCTGCCTTGAGCTCCCTATGAGCGCCTTGCTCACGGAGACACTCCAGGTATGCTAGACAGACTCTTGTGATATCTGCTCTTGCGCTTATTTCTCGGAGGCTCGTTTGGAATATCTCCCCAATTGTTGCCATTCCCCTTGGGAAAGCTTCTCCAATTATCCTTGACTTGAGATATTGCTGCACAGAAAGATGTGCTAGTTGAAGTTCCATGAATGTTTCTGTCCGAGCGGAATCCTGTTTTATGACTAGAGAGACCAAACTCGAGCAGACTTTCATGATATCTTGAGGGTTTGGCATCCTAAGGCTGGGATCGAAGTAGGGATCCCCGCTGGGATCAACTACTATAACATCAACAGCTTCTTGGATTGTCAGAGGTCGGGTTGAATAGGTAAGAAACTGTAAAATCCTTATTGCATATTGTTGATAATTACGGTCAATGCTAGCCAGGATTCGGGCGTAGGTTTCTTGTAGTGTCTTGGGTAGAGATCTCAGTGATGCCCGAAGCATTCGAAGATCAAGGCACTTTTGTAGCATATCAAGTTGGCATGCGGCCCACCTGAACCTATTCAAAGATAGTTAGTATGTACCATGTAGGGAATCGTAAGGTCGTAGCATATTAAAGCCTCTTACATTCCGTCCGCTTTCTTCATCAGTTCCGTCTCAATTTCATTCTGCACGGAAGGCTCTGACTGCCACCTCTCAAACTCTCGATCAGTCTGAAGTCGCTTGTGGATGTACGCACAAATATCCTGGTTCACAGGATCATGCTGAATGGCGACGTGGCTCCCTGGACATAGCCAACGTTTTAGTTCTGATTCAATGTCTTCTTCTCTGCGACTAGTAACAAGGAGTTGGGGCCCTGCCGGTCTGGAGCTCGTGAGAGTCTCTATCCACAAAAGTAAATTCGACCTAGTATTGCATTCATCCAAAGCGTCAATGACAATATAGATAGTTTCCAAATGGTCTATCATTTGCAGGAACGTGGCGAACAGAGACTTGAACGTTGGTTGTTGGCCACCCTCCTCACATAACGAAAATAGCTTGCCAAGATCTGTTCGAGAGCTCTCACATCTTGAATAGATCTGCATGGCAAGTGAGCGAACAAGCTTGTTAAGTGATTGTTTATCAGTATTAGTGAAATCAAAGAAGAAATAGAGGACAGCATGAGAAAAGTTAAGCTGCTGATAGAGATGCTTAATGATAGTCGCGCTAAGCACTGTCTTCCCACATCCTGGAATTCCATGTAGCCAGAGATGTCGACGTTTTCCAGATTTCCACTCGTTAAAAGGCTCGCTTTCAAGGAGCCAGGAACCAGTTCCTTCATGGTGCTTTTCTATCGCTTCGTTCAGGTTAATTGAGGGATCAGGAGTGGATAGCCACTCTTTGATTTTCCTGTATTGACTATCTTCACTCAAACCTTCAACCACAGCGGCCGTGGTGGTTGTAATAGAATGAATTTGAGTAACACTTCCTGAGACTTGAGCTCTTGTTATTATAAAACCCATAGAAAAGGAGTTAATAGAGGAACTTACTATCCTTGAGGATATTAATGGCTTTCTGTGTCTTCTGAAGGTCTTGAGTTGGAATATAAGCAAGCAGCTCCTTTGTATACGCAGCAGCTGTTGCAGCAGCATACCGTTGCCATTGGTCGCTCTTATGCGAGTCACCATAATCACAGATTCCCCTAATCACAAGGCATGGAAATGTGTTCATGAGACCCGCGGCTTCCATCTCAAAGCAAATGCATTCTTGCCCGATATCCTCCAGAATTCTATCTTTGTGGATGGCGTCCTTCAAAAGCGTGTTACCAGAAGCAATAGTGCCATAGTGAATCTCTGGTTCACTCGAATCACGCGGTTCACGTCGAATCTCTTCATTTGGGTCTGTTGCCTTATACAACCGATCATTCTCAACCCCTTGGTACACATATCCTTGTCTTTGTCTGACCATTCTGGGATTGGCTTTCGCCATCTGTGCAAGAAATTCCGAGACCCTAGAGGGTTTCCGCTCATGCTCTGCCTGGAGCCTTGCTAAAGCCTTGAGGAGGACTTCGGGTGGCCTGTTCAGAAAAGCCCTGCTTTCCCGCTGATTTCCAGCCTTTGCTTTGTATAAATCGTACTGGATGACCCCCCCGCTACTTCCTTCGGGTTGACTGACTGCAACATCTCCCAGTCGGATGTCGCGACCTTCCTCTGGCCTTGCGATTCCAGCTCCAATCCCCACGAGGAGGCCAATCCTGATGTGAGGAAAGGAGGAGAGCATACATGTGGCAGTAGTAGCGGCGGATGTTGTGCCATATACTCCTGCCGCAAGCGATGTTATGACCACGTTATGTTCTCCAATTCGGCCCCAGGTGTATATATTTGTGTCGTGATGAGGCTGGTCAAAGTTGCATGGTTCTCCATGTTCCTCATCAAGCATTGCAGTTGCCGCTGCAAGCTCTATTGGAAGCGCAGCGATCCAGCCAACAGTGTAAAAATCCGGACTCTCCAAGTCCTTTCTTGAAGCCATAGTCAGAGTAAATGCGCGGTCAACGATTTAGCTTTTGCCTGGCTCGACAGATTAGCTTTTGCGTTGCAGGTAAATTTTTTTGATTCAGTGTGAATGTTGGTATCGCAAGGACTGAGGTGCTTTAAGAGATGAAGAGTATAGAGGACCCCTTTTGGTATGTGAAATACAGAATTACCATTGAATTGAGCAAATCTATACCTTATGTAGGAAAAAGAAGTCAATTAGACAGTCTTGATAGATGCAGCCGTGGGACCAGATGATATGAGTTCAATCAACCCCTCCTTATCCATATTACAACGTGTCATCATAAGGCTAAACCATAAGGTTCCAATAAGACAGCCTAAGAGCTTGTTGTTGAACATCTTGCTGGAACTCTTTGCAGTAACTACTTGTTTGCATAAGTCCCGAATGTTATGACTTGCTGTATTATTCTTATCTAACTTCAACATTAGGTGATAAATTTTTCCCCTGCTATAACCCTTACTGAATTACCGATATTTTAGGATGGTTTGCCTACCAGCGCACAAAATAATTTAACGTAGTAAATATGATAGTTTCCCTCCACCCAGCTTGATCTGGAAACTGAGTCAGGGGTCGGAACGGATATATTTGACTGCCTGCTTGTTGTTTGAGTCACCTGGGCTGTCTTAGACAAAGCATGCCGCTGTTTTGATAGTTTAGTAAGGTGTAATTCTCACGGGACAGATTTGGGGCCATCTTCGGTCTTAAAGATGGGTAGGTGGTACAGTCATAGTAAATTCACAGTATGGGTAATTTCTCCTGCTCGCGCGCTCTGGATCCATCATTGTGATAGAATTTATGCTATCCATGATGGTATTGGCACCTTGTTTCTACAAGTTGTTAACCACTTCTATAGGCACACATCACTCGAATATGAATGGTTGCAGTACCTGCAGGGACGCACATTCACAACCCCTTTTGGGCTGACCTCCGAGGGATGATTTTCCACCACCCTAAGGGAACCGAGATTCTAATGTCCCGCAAAGGTACCTTGAGATACCCAACGGAGCTGGACCACTTGCCGTCAAAGCACTGTAATCGTCATAGCCAACCTCTGTTGGATGATATTGAGCCTGAGGTCTACCTGCCTCAATCATACTGTTATACAAGGCATGCTGAGAATTTGACTGAACTTGGTGCGACCAATCTGCCCTCCATCCAGCGACAGCAGCGCAAAGCAGATGGACGCTCGAGGGTCCCTCATCCGCGTGGTTAACTTCTTACCACAGTCCACGGGCCACAATCATCGCACCCAGTCTCTCGACTATGCCATTGTCCTCGACGGGGAGATGGAAATGGTGCTAGAGGACGGGTCGCGAACTAGGGTAAGGGCTGGCGATGTGGTTGTGCAGCAGGCGGTGAGTTGATGTATACCGATGTCTGCTGGAGTTGAGTCAGCGGCTGATAGTTATGAGATAGACGAAGCATCAGTGGGATAACCCTCCTGGTCGAACTGCTCGCGTCATTTTTGTCTTGCTCCGGTCTGAGGCCCTTGTGGTGGGAGAGAAGCTGGGTGATTCGGGGATTCCGGACGCGTTTAGGGTTACTACATAAGGCGTCCTTTTGCTCTTCAGCCTCTTCTCGCTTGTTCCTACGTTGTTTTAGCTGTTGTAGTTAGTTGCTGGGACAGTGTGCAAGTTAGTATGCTAGTATCTCATTATCGGGATGCTTCCCAATTACGAGACAACTTAATATAATCGCATTATTCGGATGTCTAGACTATTGTAGCCCTACGTTGCTTGGTTCAAGCCTACCCCATATACCATGCTTATTCAATATCTGCGTGTTACCCAGTCAATCAGCGTGATAGTCTCACGGGTTCTCCCTGATGGCGCGGGTCACCGGACCGCTGTTTGCCTGATTAGCAACCCATCCAGCTTGATAATTCCCGCGTACTCACGTATCCATGTAGGCACGGATCTTGATGATTTTGTTCTCCTCGTTGAACTCGCAGACCCAGGTATACTCGTTCGTAAACGGCAGCTCATTCTTGCACATAGTATCGACCGCCGCCTGGCGACCGTCGCTGATGATGTTCTCAATCTGCAGCTTCAACGGGCTGGCCCAGGTTGATTGAGCTGAGAGGCTTTGTCCAATTATGAAACTCAGCCTTGGAACGGTAGTGTCCAGCAATGGGACAGAAAGTTCCTATCGCCGTAGTCTTGCCACCAACAGTCAAAGTAGCAGGACAAGTAAAAGCCTGCAGTGTGCGGCGTCTACCTTTCACTTGCCAACCCACATCATCCGCAATATGTTCGAAGAAAGCGGGCGCATTGCCTCTTTTGAAGGGCTCGAATATGGCTCGGTGACGAATAGGTCGATATCGGACGGCGGAGGTGAGTCTTGCTTTGCTCGGGAGCAGGAAACGGTGAGGCGTAACAGGATGTGGCCTGTGATTTCCAGTGTTGAGGGCGTCTGATACCGGAAAGTGATTGGCGTCCTGCAGAACCTAGTGAGCCTCTGGGACCACAAAGTCCGATGTGCGGGAAGGACTTACCCATTCAGTGCATCATAGGTACAGGTACCAACAGACATATCAGGAGTCTGTGAAAGGGTCTGCTTGGGCGTGAGGAAGAACTTGGTGTACTGAGCATCCGGGATGGGCCAGTCCACCTCTGCACGACTGGGAAATTTCAATTTGCGCTCCGGGTCGTCTACAACACAGTCGCCTTTACGGACGCATATATGCACGCGGGGCTGTTGGCCAGACTTCCGCCCGTCGCAATCATTGTCCTTCAGGAAGGCATCCAAAAAGGATAGTTGCAGCCGAGCGGAGTGAGGGTAGTAGAAGGGCAAATCATGACGCCCAACAATGAAACGCAGGAACTTGTACGGGGAGGAGGCGCGCATCCAGCCGATGACATTCCCACGTAGATGAAGTAGGATTCCGCCCTGGATCCAGCAGGGTCAGTTGTTATGCATCATGGACTGGGGAAATCGGAATCCTTACCCAATTGGCGACGCTCAGAAGAGGAACCTGGATACTGGCCAGATCGGTTGTGAAGAGTCTCAAGCAATATGTGTGCTTTTAGCATAAGCAAGTCTGAAAGGGGGTTGCTCTATTGTCCAGTAAGCCATCCTCTTTAATTGACTGTCATGTATCTATCCTTGTCAATTTTCATATAATCACTCGTCTGCTATGTACATTCAGTGTAAGAAGTTAAGCTAAAACCATATTATTACTATCAGTACCTAATGCCTTCGTGCTAATCTCAGAAAACCCACCCTAGTTGCTTGAAGAAATTACAGCACCTGATACTACAAACCAATATCAAGAAAGAGACACTATTGACATATCGACTTTATAGCCATCGAGCCCCAGGTACTAGCAATAAGATAGTCATTTAGAAGGAGACTGCTTTAGATATGTCTTACTACTTTTCAATAGCAGCTCGAGATATTTCTCAATTCTTCCATGTGCACATACAGTCAAAGGTGAACACTCTGTACTTTCATCCAGATTATAGTCTTCCCTGAGTCTCAATTCAGGGAGAACTGTTTGCAGCGGTGTGGATGCAGATACAGCTTCAGCCACTTTTGGATTCTCCTCTGCATTCAATAGCGGTTAATACTTTTGCGGTCATTTTGAGGACAGCGCCTAAACCATGCTTAGCGGGCAAAAGCTACAGATGGAAATGCCGCCGTAAATGGCGTCAGTAGCAGTCTTTTCCAGCGTCAATTTCACAGGTCCTCATGTTCTAGGTGTAAATGATAAACACTGAAAACCATCCGAACGAATTTTGAAGACGCCAACTTATCAATCTAACATATAGCCAAATAGGCTGGTCTTAGATATAAGAAATCCTCGATGGTCTAACGGTCATGATTTCCGCTTGTCACTCAAATAGAGAACGAGCGCGGGAGACCAGGGTTCGACTCCCTGTCGGGGAGATTTCTTTTTTCACCCAAGGTTTGTTTTTTTGCCCTTCCAACTGACGCATGTGGTTCACGAGGATATATGATGCAGTCAAGATAAAATAGATATAATTGTTTCTAGCCTCGATTGCTCATGATACAGACGGGCTGAATTCCCAGTAGGGCTGGCGTCGCAAAGAGCAGGAACAGTGTCACATGACTGACCAGACAAATATAAGCGAGATCAGATCTCATCAACCAGCGGTATGTGATATTTAGAGCAAAATTGCAACTTCTATTTGTATTGGATCAAAGGTGTGCTCTGAACACATCAGAATCCTGACGGCGTTGCGGTAACGAGACCGATAAATATTTAACCATATCACGCCGCTCCTTAAACCGCCACTATATCAGCAAACAGACCAAGACATTGGGAGACAAGGCCTGTTGGTGCCGCTCAACAATTACAATATGCCGAGGAACGTGAAGAAGAACCCACGAGATGTCACTAAGCTCTCCGGGAAACCTCTGGCTGAGACGATAGAGCCATCACCTGTTCTGAAAACCCTGCAGGAGGGATGGGTAACCTCGCCAGATCTGATAGAGGGCGATCTCTCCTTTACCCTAGAGGTTATTCAAAATATGACGGTTTTCCTGTTAGCGAACCCCAACCTGAATTCAAGCCACTTGTTCCGTGCGGATATTCTTTATGATAGCCTGGGCGTTCTCAGCGCCCCGCATGCTATGGAGAACAGTCAAGATCATGGGAGCGGCGGCACAGACAAGGATACCCAAAAAGAAGATCATGTCGAGCCTCTTCCTGCGAGGAGTGTACCTGGATTTGAACTGAAGAGGACCATTGTGAGGAGACTCATTCCTAGGAATAAGAATCTGGACCGGCCCCTCGAACAGACCTGTCATTTTTACGAGGCGGATGAACTTCTCCCAACATCAACTAGTACAAATATTCCTCAAAGCGAGCAATGCGAATCGAAGGCTGAGTCGCCTCGCCAACGCTTCTTGGTCATTTACCTGCCGCATGTCTCGTCCAAGGAGGAGATGCCATGGTACCACCCCCTGCTACGATCATTGGCCTTCCTGTATGATTTTACACCCAATGCTTCTCCACATTCATCCGAAGAGAAGAAAGGGACGGGGATAATGTCGGTGCACTTCCTGCCATACGAGGAAGAACCAATCCAGAACCGTCTAGAGCGCACCCTGCTCGCGCTGTTGAGTACTCAGATCCGGCTTGCTCGCCAGACGCGCCTGGACGAAAAGCCAGAAGGAGGGAACTACAACCCGCACAAAGATAACGTGATACCAAGGCACCTCGTGCAAGACACCTACGCGCGACTCAAATTGAAGTACGCGGCGGACCTATGTCAGAATTGGGTCGAGGATACCGAACCGAACAAGCATGTTTTCGAAGACCTCTCGATCACGGCCTTCCTGATAGAGTTGTGGAGGAGCATGTACGGAGTTGTACCCGCCGATGAGAGAAGCCCCGACCAGAAGGAGCAAGGGAAGTACGACTCGAAATTTCCCGGATTTGTGGATGTCGCTTGTGGAAACGGGGTGCTTGTCTATGTGCTTCTCTCGGAAGGGTACCATGGCTGGGGATTTGATGCTCGTCGTCGGAAGACCTGGAGTATATTCCCGTCGTCAATCCAGGAGAGACTCAAGGAGGAAATATACATACCGAAGCCTTTTGCAGACGTGTGCACAGACTCGGAGATGGACATTGGTGTGAAAACGCACACAGGCATGATTCCAGAGCACACATTCATCATCTCGAATCATGCCGACGAGCTCACAATCTGGACGCCGCTTATGGCTGCCCTCTCAAACCCGGCATCCCCCTTACCGTTCATCTCAATACCTTGCTGCTCTCACTCGCTCTCTGGAGCCAGATATCGCTACCCGCCACCGAAGCCTAACAAAAAAGGGTCTGTTGACCGACCAGAAGATCAAGAGGTGGAACAGAATCCTCAACCGGCAGCCGGGGACTTGAAGGCGCTCCGGGCTGCTAAACAGCAGGAGCGCACCGATACCGGCGCGGTCAATTCCATGTACGGCTCTCTTACCGCCAAGACAATGGGAATCGCCGAAGAGATCGGATACGAAGTGGAAAAGACGCTGTTACGCATCCCCAGCACAAGGAATATGGGCGTGATCGGCGGCCGGAGACGGACAACGCAGGAGTGGACCTCAAGGGTTCATTCCGCACAAGCATCGCAGGCAGTCCAATGTAGTGCTCCCGATGCTGTTCGAGCTGCCGAGCAGGTCCTAGAAAGGGTCGCAGCGGTTGTCCAGCGGGAGTGTGCTCGAGAAGGAGGAGTCGAGGTCGCAGCGAAGGTATGGATTGAACGTGCCAAGGGGCTCCACAAGGGACAGGGAAAGGGTAACCAGCCTGCTCATGGATGAGATTGCGATGATACCCAGGAATAGATACCTTGCAAAAGAGAGCCATTCCTTGACTCTAGTGTTTACGCCCCGTGTTCGTACTGGAACTTCGATGAAGCTTCAGCCACGGCGTAGGAGAACCCAGGAAAGAGGCATTGACCATTTCCAACTCCCCTCGATAAATATCACTCACCGAAGCTTGTTTTCGTCCAAGGTCAGTGTATAAGCGTGGGAGTGATCGACATCTCCTCATATTCCAAGACCCGCGGGAAAGGGAATCCGATGAGAATGCGGGGATTTTTCAAGAAGCGCTCACCGTATCTCCGAGGTTTCTCCTTCTTTGATGTCATTATCCATGGTCTCCCAGGATACTAACCACTCCATGCACAGTTGTATGCAGCTTTAGACTCCCGCTTCTCCAGTTCGAGAAAAGTCTACGGCGTAAATAGGCTGCAGACACGGAGAAACACCGTTCTTGTCAACTGCTATGCGATTCCATGCGGGGGAGCCGGAGATGCATATCTCGGGTTATAAAATCCCCGGTAATCAAGGGCAATATGGAAGAATAATATCTGCAATTGCCAATTACTTCCGGGGTCGCTGAGAATAATTGTATTTCTGAATATACTTTCGTCGCTGTACAATGGGGCTCTCTTCGCTGCTGCTCTCCGCGGCGCTCTTCGGCCTCAAGGCCTCTGCATTGAACAATGGCTTAGCTCGGACACCGCAGATGGGATGGGTAAGTCATTGGATCTTTTCACTTGCATTAGGCATGCAGAGATAGACGGCTTACCTCGTTCCTATACAGAACACCTGGAATTCGTTCGCCTGTGAACTCAACGAGACAGTCATTCTCAATGCGGCGGAGAGAATTGTTTCTCTTGGTTTCAGAGACTTGGGATACGAATATGTGGTCTTGGACGACTGCTGGTCGGCCGGCCGGAACTCGTCTGGCTACCTCATCGCCGACTCCGAGAAGTTCCCGAATGGAATCGCCCATCTCGCAGACAAAGTCCATGAGTTGGGCCTGAAAATCGGCATCTACTCCAGCGCTGGAACATGGACTTGCGCGCGGTATGAGGGCTCGCTCGGTTACGAGGAAAAGGACGCTGCCCTCTGGGCAAGCTGGGGTGTATGTCTCTCTCCGTTTCCCCTGACATTGTCCAAGGCTGACAGCAACCCAACCCAAAACTAGATCGACTACCTCAAATACGACAACTGCTACAACGAAGGCGAAGAAGGTACCCCGAAGCTATCCTTTGACCGCTACAACGCCATGTTCAAGGCCCTCAATGCAACCGGCCGCCCAATGCTCTATTCCCTGTGCAACTGGGGCGTCGACGGGCCCTGGAACTTCGCCCCAACCATCGCCAACTCCTGGCGCACGGCTGGCGATCTGAGCAACGTCTGGGACCGCGACGACGTCAATTGCCCCTGTTCCGAACTGGAGGGCCTGGACTGCAAGACGCCGGGTTACAAATGCTCCATCATGAACGTCCTCAACAAGGCCGTCTACTACCCGTCCAAGGCGATCCCAGGCGCCTGGAACGACCTCGACATGCTCCGTAAGTTCCACATCCCCAGCAACC